AAGATGATCAGAAACATAAAGAAGAAGAAGATGAAGGGGAAGTAGAAAAAGAAGAAGATGGAGAAGATGAAGAAGAAGAAGACGAAGAAGAAGAAGAAGATGAAGAAGAAGAAGAAGAAGAAAGAGGATGAGGAGGAGGAGAAGGAGAAGGAGGAGAAGCAAGGATATAAACAATCACGAAGGAATCGAATGACGAGGGAATGGGGCGGGGGGGGAGGGGTTAGATGGTAAGACGAACGAACCTATCTTTTTTCTTTTCTTTTCTTTTCTCTTTCTTTTCCCTTATTCCTCAACTATAAACTCCGCGGTAAACTTTTCCTAATTAGACCCCGAATTGAGATCATATTTCTCGCGCAATGTTACCTTCCCTCGGCTAGAATAAAGCAACGGCGCGAGGAGGACGAGAATAAAAAAAAGTAAAAGGAAATTAAATTCGTTTCATTTTCTATCCGAGACCAAGAGTGTGGTGGGGGGGATAGGGGGTGAGGGGAAGGGGGAAGGGATAGGGGGGTGGGGGGAAGGGATAGGGATAGAGGTGAGGGGTAGGGGGTATGGGAAGGGGGAAGGGATAGGGGGGTGGGGGGAAGGGATAAGGGATAGAGGTGAGGGGATAGGGGGTATGGGAATGGGTAGGGGGGTAGGGGAAGGGGGAAGGGATAGGGGGTGGGGGGAAGAGATAGGGGGAAGGGATAGGAAGGGGAGAGGGGAAGGGGATAGGGGGATAGAGGAAAGGCGAAGGAATAGGGGGGTGGGGGGAGATGGACGGGAAAGAAGGAGGAGGGTGGGGGGGAAGGGGGAGGGGGGGATGAATGGTCAGGCGCGAGCTTAATGATCTTTAACAGGGGGAGGGGGGAGGGGGGGAGGGTGTTAATATGAAGTGCAAGTGGTTAATTTTTCCCCGTTACTTGCTGAAAAGGAGAAAAATTGTGCAGACAGAGAATGCTTGGAAGGTATATAGCCTCGGTTTTATTCATATTGTGCAGGATAAAAATCTCCGATCTGCAGTGGAAATGTGCAATTAATTTCCTTCATCAAGGGAATGAGGCAAAAAGTATCCTAACAGGAAGAGAAGAGTGATTGCACATATACATCATTGTCATCATCATCATCATCATCATCAACATCATTATTATTGCTATTATCGCTATTGTTATTACTACCGTCAATATCATTATTATTGTCATTATTGTTAGTGTTATCATTATTATTTTGATTGCTGATTGTTATGACTATAATTGTTTGTTATTGCTATCATTATTATCATCATTATTAATATCAATATCAATATTGCCTTATTATTATAATTGTTGTTTTGTTGTTGGTGTAATTATTATGATTATCATTATTATTATTACCACTACTGCTACTACTATTGCTACTACTATAATTATCGTTATCGCTTTTATTAACATCATTATGATAATTTTCGTCATGATTTTATTATTACTACTAGTATCAGCATTATTTGGCCCTTTTGAAAGTGACGTCACGAACATGAAAACCCGAAATCCGATGAATAAAATCAGTATTTCATTTCTCTATCCATTCTGTCCAATTTTCGCTCAAAAAGGAGGGGGGACAGTATACGCATGAATAAAATACGCAATATGGAAAGGGAAATTTTGTTATGACTGTTGGGATTCGTCCATGAAACATTCAAGTGATGACGTCACACTCGTAGAATTCAAATTCCCGTTTTCTGTTTCTTTATCTCGGTGTCACTTTTCTCATATTAATTGTATTCATATGTTTACTTATTCATTTTATTTATCCATTGTTTACTAGCGATAAGAACAACTAAACTAGTCGCAGATGTAATGAAATGAATAAATGAACAAATACATGAAATTATTTTGCCAAATTATTATATATTACATATACTTCAGATCGTCTTTTCATATCGTTTCATAATAAAGATAGCTAAATATCGTATAACCGAAAATATCGTATTCGGGCAAAATGGCAGCAGAAGTGAACCAATAAATAAATAAATAAATAGATAAATAATAATAATAAAAGTAAAAAAAAACGGAATCCAAAGAAACAGTGATAGTGTGTTCACCTTTTTTATTTATGACCATATGTGTAACTGCATATTCGCGCTTTTACATATTCGCACAATCAAACAAAAAGATAGAAAAAAGTGTGTTTGTCCGCATATATGCATGTCTGTATAGCTGTACCGTACGCCTATACATGCATGAGTGTGAAAGTGTGGGACAGTAAATATGAAAACAAAGATAAAAAAAAATCTGTTTGATGATGTAGTTGTGTCGACTAGGGTTTTATCCACACAAAAAAAAACAAAAAAAAACATAGGTTATTAGAGCAACAGAACGAAAATATGAAATATAATATAAACCTCCTCAGGGTACGTTGACAAAATGGATCATCGTGTGAAAGAATTGAAAGGGAAGTTCGTAAGCTTGCAGGAATGCTGAGAAAGTTGCTAAGCAGAGACAAGCAGAGCCGGGCATAAGGAGGAGGGTAATAAGCAGGATAATGAGGAAGAGCATCGTGAGGTCTAATCGGATGGTTTGCGAAGAATAATGAGGGAACTAGCGTTAGTGGTTTGGCTTTTTCGTTGCGGGACGAGATGCAAAGAGGGACATAGAATAAGCAAACACACACACCTGAGAGTGTATATATATATATATATATATATATATATATATATATATATATATATATATATATATATATATATATATATATATACACATTTATATATATTCATATACATATATGTATATATATGTATATATATGTGTATATATATATATGTATATATATATATATATATATATATATATATATATATATATATATATAGAGAGAGAGAGAGAGAGAGAGAGAGAGAGAGAGAGAGAGAGAGAGAGAAGAGAGAAAGAGAGAGAGAGAGAGAGATTATATCTATAAATATTATGTATGTGTATATATATAGATAAAGCTATATATATACATATACATACATACATGCATATACATATATATATACATATATATATATATATATATATATATATATATATATATATATATATATATATATATATTACACACCTGTGTGTGTGTGTGTGTGTACTGTATTATACATATGTAGATATATTTATACAATATGTTTATGTCATACTCTACACACACACACACACACACATATGTATGTGTGCGTGTGTGTGTGAAACATTTTCTTTTTCATCTCACTGTTTTCATGATACATTTTTCACTACAATATAATGAGAAAGAACCCGTATCCGGGAAAGTAGAAAAGTAACAACTTTTTTGACGAACGAACTTTCATAAAACTTTAAAGATGAAAAATGGTTATATTTTCGATGTATCTGTGTATAGATTCGTAAATACAACATAGATATTGATGACAAAAACACATTACAATTTTGACGCAGCGACAGAAACGCCCAAAATGTACAAATGATTTTACTGGAAAGGGAGACAACGGCACCGAAATTCAAATGGATTTTAACTTCATATGATGCATTGTATGCTGTACATGTGCTACATACACACACGCACATACACACACATAACACACACACACACGCACATACACATACACACAACACAGATGCATGTACACTCAAACACAGTTAATGTCAGTAGTAAATCCTCAAAAGATAGTTAAGTAAATAGATAACTAAATAAACTTATGTAATAAAATGAATAAAAATCAAAACTGATAAAATCTCTGTCCACAGGCGTGATGTGAGTACGACAGGATACGCCCACTCCCTGGCCACGCCCCTTTCTCCTCCCCCGTCTCTCTTCCCTCCGCTTCTGCCTTCTCGTCCTCTCTCTCCTCCTCCTCTTCGTCGTTCTTCTTCTTCTCATGTCCCGCAAATTTCTCCTCTTGCTTCTTTCTCTTCTCCTTCTCCTCCTCCTTCTCCTTCTCCTCTTCACCAGCATCATCCTTCAATTCCTCTCCCTCATTCTCCTCAG